TTAAATAATTTTTGACCATGATCACAGGGAAAAAAAGGTAGAAGTTATACTTAAGTAATTTCATTGTTTTTTCTCTTTCTCCCATTTAGCCTTCTAATTGTATTTTTCCCTCACTAAATGTATATCTAAAACATTCCTCCCCTTGGATTGTAGTGATAGTATTCCTCGGTACATAGATACAACTAATATAGACTTTAGTACAGAGTGGTCAAATTTGTCCAAGCTGCAGCAAAACTGGTGTACATTGCAGGAACCAGATTAAAATGTAATTGGGAAATGTTTAGCAATCTTTTTAAAAATACAGTATAGCGTAGATAATGTTAATTTGTGGTTTTCTAAGTCAATATGTGGGCCACAGGGATTTGTTTCTATTTGAGTTTGACATTACTGCTTTAGAAGATTAAATTAATATATAGTATGGAAAATGTTAAAGGTTGTTTATTAATGATAGTTTGGTGAGGTAGTTTTTAAAAAATCAGGTTTGCCAATAGATTAGTAGAATTGGGAAAAACAAGAACAACAACAACAAAACCCAACAAAGGTCTTTTTGCTTGCCTTAGGAGGCTAACAGAATGAATGATAGGGTTATGAGATCATAAAGTTTAGAGCTAAAAGAGATGATGAAAGTCCTTGTTTTAAGCCCCTCATTTTAGAGATGTGGAAACTGAGTCCCAGAGAGGTTGTCTAAGATTATACAGACAGTAAACAGTAGATCTAGGGCTTCTGACTCCAAATTAAGCTGTCCTTCAATTATATACTACACTACTTTCTTTAGATCATTCCTGGCTAGTTATTCATGAATATCATGGCTTACTTCTCAGAACATCAGTTAGGAAGCCTACTTTTAAACACCGATAATATCAGAATTTAATCGATATTCAGGGTTGATGGAAACATACCATAACTTGAGCTCAGTGGAAAGAGACTTAAAAGAATTCAATTCAACAAGCATTTATTCAGTGATTACTATATGTTAGCCTCTGAAGATGCAAAGACAAGCAAGTCTAGTTTGGTGCCCTCAAGCATACATTTTATTTGAGTAAAAACACTGAGGGTTTCCTCTGTATCAAATGTATCAGAATTAGGTCATAAGTGGTAGAACAATTAAATTAAGTATTTGTAAAATAGATCAATTAGTGTGATGTTATCAATGCCATATATCAAGAGGGCTCCCAAGTATTAGTTTACTAATTTGTTCTTTGGAATTAGGAAAAGGTCTCAATTCAGGAAGCATTTGAAAAAAACATGGCACTAGCTATAGTAGTCACTTTAATTAGAAAATCTTCACCTTCAGAATCTGGTTGTATCATATTTCATAATCATCAGAATTGAAAGTATTTGCTGATAAGTCTAAGTCAGTTATAAACAGGCAGTGAAACCACTCCCTGCCAGATACTATGTAACTATTTTACCTAAACATTAGGAATCTCAAACATCACTGACCTTTTTATCAGCTTCACATCTGCTTTTTATTGGCCTGCCTATCTTTCCCTGTGCCCCCTATTTCAAAAAACAAGCCTTATAACAACTGTGTCTCATCTCCCCAACTGGAAAAACTGGCATGTATATATATGTGGCAGTTCCCACTGGAGTAGCCCATCTATTGCCAATCTATGTACCAGTCCACAGGGGTGTGTCATTAATATAGTGCAGCTGCTGCCTTGCTCTGTAGAACCAGTGTCACCTTAGTGACACTCTTAAGGTTTGCCAGTTTAGACTCTGGAATCCTTAATCTGTCTCAAGTTCAGGGTCTCCCATCTGACCACACTTTGCTCTGTTTGTATTTAATTAAGTTGGCATTAATCAAGGCCCAGGTGAGGAGCAGTGAGGTAATATTTTGCTTGCATTGCTGTAACATACATCATCTGATTAACAATTTGGAGTGTTAAACAGATTTGGAAACAAACACAGGTGTTAAGGATTCAAAAAGCAGAGAATTATAGTGACAACTGCAAGATACTTTCTTTTAACTCAAGTTTTTAAGTTTTCCCCTGTGTTTGAGAGAGTAAGAATTTTTTAGTTGAAATGTGTGACCTGCTTATAGTATCAATTAGAATTGACAAATCTAGGTTGGGAGGATGGGGGTGGAGGGCAGGGATGGTATCACTGCTGTATTTTGTATCATCTTTTAGCTGATGGAATGCCTCTTTCACAGAGCTCAGTGTGTTTACTGCATTAAATATTGTTGGGAGGCAGTTATAAGATTGTTACAAACTGCTGGTTGTTCACAGAGCTCAAAATTATAGAAATTGACTTTCTGGAACTTCTTGATGAAGGAGCTATATTATAGAAAAGTGATCTCATTTATGAAAGAAGCTGTCTGTGGATCCTAGTACATCAGAGCTTAAGGAAAATTAAGTATTTTAATGTTGGCAAGCAAGGGGAAAAAACTACTATTTTTCTGATAAACCAGAACATGATCTGATTTGGCCTTGGCTTTGGGTACCTCCTTGAAATATTGTTGCTATAAACCATGTTGGATATTCTTTCCTGCCCCTTTTCCCTCTTTCCCCTTCCGGAAGGACTTTCAGAAGACCTTGTTTATATTATTTAAAAAATCTTTCATTCAAAACTGTCCTCAGAAAAGAAAACTCTTTTTCATAATGGGGGGGACATATTAACTCTTGTCAATTGTAGTTTAAACTTCCCTCTTTCTAAAGAGGCAATACGGTATTCAAAGCTTTGCCCACAACAACGACGTGTGCAAGTAGATAGTGCAAGTATTATTTCCATTTGGCATGTAAGGAACCTGAGGCATAGCAAAGTTAAGTGATTTGTCTAGGGTCATTCAGCTTTTAGCCGAAATTTGAATTTAGGTCTCCTAACTCCAACAGTAATGCTTTTTCTGCTATATAGTATTCTGTACTCCCACCTCCTAGTTCAGTTACCTTGAGCAAATCACTGAATTTCTGTGTATCTCAATTACTTCCTCTATAAAATGTGGATAATACTTCAACTATCTACCTCATAGAGTATTACAGGAAAAGCATAGTGTAAAACTTAAAATGCTATAGAAGCGGAAATTGTCATCATATTGGATCATACAGACAAAAATGTATGTAATTTGCTTGCTTGGGATTAGTGTTGTGTTGAGTTTTTGTTTTTTTCCCCCCTCTCTCCCTCCAAGGTGCTGTGTTGCTCACCCTGGGGGCAGATTGAGAGGTAACTGGAGAGGGAGGGCAGCAATTCCCCAAGGTATCTGGAGGGTGGGCTTTACAATTTCTTTTCTTAGGTTTCTCATCATTGTTCTAAAAATCCTTATTTTAGTTGTTTTTTTTTTTCCTAGCTCTGTATTTTCTTTAATGGGTGTGGGGGTATACTGCACTTATATGGTGCAGCATATCAGACTAGCAGAAGCTCCTGAGGGTTTGGGGATCCATATTGAAGAGGGTGACTAGGATAGTGGAGGAGACCATGTTCTGTGGAGATCACTTGAAGTGACTGATGATGTTTTAGCTTGGATAAGACTTGGGGAGGAGGGAGAGGAAAGAAGAAGCGATTTGCTATCTTTATGTAGTAGGGAAGGGTTGTCAAGGAGCAAGGGATTAGATTTGTTTTTTGTGGCCCGAAAACACAGTTAAGAGGCAGTAGATGGAAGCTGTAGATTTTAGCTGCTTTTCAACATTCAGAGCTATCTAAAAGTGGAATGGTTTGACCTGGACAGGCAGTGGGCTGGCTCCCTTTCACTAGAGATCTTTTAGTCGAGGTTGGTAACGACTTGAATGGACATTGTTGAGGTCGTTCCTTTTTACAGGATTAGATGAAACTTTGAAGACCCCTCCAAATTTTGAGATGCTATAATTTCTGATATAGATAAATCCCAAGCCACAGAATTTGAGACCTGGAAGTTATTTTAGAAATAATTTAGTTCAACCTCCCTCTCCCCCCCAGTTTTATAATGAGGAAACATGTGAAGTGACATATATACCTAAGATCACAATGTTAGGCAGAATTTGTCAAGCCTGGTATTCTTTCCTTGATATCACTATGCCTTAAGCTTCTATCAGTAAGTTTTGTTTTCTATGATTTTGTCCTGGCTCAGGAATATCATAGACTATTAGAGGTGGAAGGGATTCCAGAGGCCTTGCAAGTAAAGTATTGATTAAGTATTATTATTAAAGTATTTACTAAGCTCTTACTGCCCTCCAGGCACTGCAGTTTATTACAGAAAATTATTCTTAACCTTATCTTTTGAAAAAGGTTTTATTTCTGTATTTTGCACTTGTGCAAAAGAATTGGATCTCACCAGTGTGATGGGGAAGGCTGGCTGCTTAGATAAACCCTAGGAAAGTTGCCCTAGAAGTTAAGTGGCTTGGGGAGTGGGACAGAGGAGAGGCCACATACTATCCACTACTTCGTGTTGGACTTTTGTTTATCTTTCACTCTCGAAGTGGATGTGCTATCAGGAAGGTGATACCATAACTTGCAAGTGAATTGGATTTAAGTGAGAGAGGGCTGTGCAAAATCACCAGCCTTATTCAGCAAATATTTATTAAACTACCTCTTTATGATGAGCTCTATATGGTGGGATGGGGAGAGATAGCAGAAATAATTGACTTGGCCTTGCTTACATGGAGCTTGCAATATTTTGTCCCTTGGGAGCAGGGACCATATTTTATGCAAGCTTTGAATCCCTTGTGTTGGGCGCAGTACTCAATACGTCTAAGCTTACTAAATGTTTGCTGCTGCTATCAGTGTCTAAAAATGTATTCTAGTTCTGTGGAACCAGTTAAAACCCCAAGTAATAGTAATGTTGTCAACATTCATCAATGCTATTTCTCACATATTTGGGACAAAGAGATTTTACTTTAAAAAATTTCCCCTTAAAAACACAACAACAAAAATAAAAGTAATGGGCTGTGTAGGGTGGCGCCACAGCGTGAATTCTGGGTGTCCCCGGTGAAGGGAATCTAAAGAAGTCGCATAAAGTTCCTTCTCCATCTTGCTGTGGGCTTTCTAGCTCTCTCTGCCTTACCTACTGGTAATTTCTTTGAACTCACCTCTTGGAGTCGGGAGTGTGGATAGCTCCTTGGTATCCTGCAGAGACACGTTAAAGGGTGGGGGGGATTATGGGAGGTAGAGTGAGGTGGGGGTGGAAGAGCCGCCCACTGCTGGAAGCTGCTTGTCCTGACCGCATGCTCCTAGGCACAGCGCTTTTCCTGGTCTGGCCTGGGTGTTTTGCCTTTAAGAGCTCCCCTGTGTTTTGGGGGTAGTAATGGACTGTGTGTGCTGACCCTGGTGCGCATGTTCAGGGTAGTGACGCCGCAGCTCCATGTGTAAGAAGCGCATTATTTGGCAACCGGAGGAGCGGCGGAGAAGAGGATTAGAGGGATCCCCGCCTGAGGGAAAGTTGGGGGTGGTAGTGGTGGCTGGGGGAAAGCCGAAGAACGAACCCGTTAAAAAAAAAAAAAAGAATCCAAACCGCCCAAACCTGTCTTGAGCTGCATTTTAGTGTCTTCGGAGGGTAAGGTCCGGATTAAAACTTATGATTTTGGGGGGGGGGTGAGAGGGGCGTGGTGGTGGCGTGCAGTGGACTGGGGGGGTAAGAAGGGTAGAAGTTACTAGAGAAATGTGTTGGAATTGATGTATTCTACCCCCTCCCCCTCCCCCTCCCTTGTAGGAAACTGAAAGTACCTATAATAAACCGGTTAACCGGGGCTCTCTCTCGATTGAGAAAAGTCTTGAATTAAGCTTGCGGCACCACGCATATTGGTTGGGATCGATGTTTTTTCTTTTTTTTCCTTTTCTGGAAAATAACTTGTTAACAAGTTTTGCTGGGGAGTGGGGTGGGTGGAGGTAGTGTATTGGAAAAAAAAGTAAGAATCAAGGAGTTAAATTTCTGTGAGCTTCTTCCGCTTTACATGAAGTCTCTCCCCCCCCCCCCCCCAATGTTTGAGATCCAATTCGCGGTGGAAGAGACGAAAGTTTTTTGGGGAAATGTATCTTGTGTAGGGGGTGGATGCAAACGGGAAAAGCAGGATTGGGAACAAGTATTAATTGTTTCTTAAAGTTATTAAAGGCTTTTAATCTTTCCTGCTGCCTGCTTCCTCCTTTTCCTCCATCACACGCGTTTCACTTTTCCTCCCAGCTTAGGGAGGAGATAGTGCTTGAATTGGATGTAGGGAAAAGCCGATAGTATTACGTTGAAAGGCGCGACTTTAAAATGGTCAAATTGAGATCTGGCGCTTTGAAAAAGAGGTACCCTTTACAGGATCTTGTTTGGGAGTGTGGTGGCCGGTCTTGTTGGATACTTTTCAGGTCTTGTGTTTTGTGGAATAGCCATTCTCAGCTTCCTCGCAGTTTGTGGGTGTGGAGCACAGCAGCAGGATCCCAGGGTTTCTGGGTGGCTTTACTCAGGGGTGGGGGTGGGGGTAATGGACATATTTGTGTGTGTGTCTCTTTTGGTTGAGCCCCAGTCGTGGCACTTAACCCGGCTGTGGCAGCCAGACCAAATCTCCTGTCAGAATAAGAGTCCCCCCTCAAAGACACTCATCTATTTTCATATATATTCTCTCTCTCTGTCTCTCTCCTCTTACCCTTTCCTTTCCCTCTCCTCTTCCTCTCTCTCCCTTTTTCTTTCTCTCCTCTCCCTTTTTCTGTCCCACTCCCTTCTTCTCTCACTCCCTCCTCTCCCCTTTTCTCTCTCCCTTTCTCTCCCTCATTTCTCTCTCCCACTCCCTATTCTGTCTCTCTTTTCCATCTCTCCCCTCCTCTCTCCTTTCCTTTCTTTCCTCCCCCCTTCTCCTCTCTCCCTTTCCCTTAAACTTCCTTATGTTTTCTATGCTGGTTTTCTGGGTTCTACCCCTTCATTCTTCATTCTGATCTTTATTGATTTTTCCCTTTACCTGTAATGGGTTAGCAGCTGTGACTAGACTATTCTCACCCAGCGGCAGCTGTGCTCCTTAAGGGATTATCTTGAGAATTTTGAGTTGGTCATTTCATCCCTTAAAGGAAGGGGAAAGACCTTAGTGTATTATCACTTTTGAAAATACTGAGGTTTGGTAAGTGATTTTAAGTAATTTTTTGAGGTGTTATTTTAAATTAGCACCAAGGATTTCAGGAACCTTGAATTTTGCTAAAGCTTGTGGTTCAGTCCAAAATAGCATAAGGATGATCTTTATCCTATGAACTTTGGCTTTTTAGATCAAAGTGTGAGTCACTTGAGGATTTTAGATTTTATTTTTTTTTTCTCCTCAGCTCCCTAAGGTTCCCCTCCCCCCTCCCCAATATTTTATTTACATTCCCTTGCTCTAGGTGCTGATTCATACAGTGACACCTTCTGGTAGTGATGGGCATGAGGAGACTGATATATCCTATATGTGACTTTTGGTCATTTATTTAAAATCTTAGAATGTCACAGCTGGAGAAGGAACCTTAAAACTGTTAGAGTTGAAAGGAAACTCTAGTTAACCCCTCTTATTTTAAAGATCAAGCAGACATATACAGAAGTGAAATGAATTGGCCAAGGACACATGGAGTCAGAGTCTGAAGTAGAACTGCTGTGATCAGTAGACTATTTACTATAGCTTTTTAATTGCTGAGTCTATAGTCTTCCAGACTAGTCTCTTTCCAGTCCGGAAGACTTTTTTTTTCTCAGTTGTTACTTTTAAAAACAAAACAAAATTTAGCTACAAGGCGATATATTTGTTGTCAGTTTCCTATTAGGATCATCTGTAGGTTAAGAAGAGGAGCTGTTAGACTTTGTAACAAGTTTATTGAGAGATTGTACAATATTCTCCAGAGTTGCAGCAAATTGAACAAAATGTAAATGAGTGCTTCCTATGTACAGGCACCTTTTCTTCCAAAATCAAGGTTTTGGTTTTTGTTTTGTCCCTGATTCACAAAGAGATAAAATTGCTGTTGCTTTTTTGAAGTAAGCAGCATGTGATAATCGAAAATGCTGCTTATTTTATTATTGTTATTATTGACTGACATTTAATAATGTTTAAAGGCTTACAGAATGCTGTTATATGCATTCTGATTTGCTCTTTTTAACACCCCTTTCATTACCTATAGGTATTATCCCCATTTTACAGATTAAAAAACTGAAATTCAGAAAAGTTAAATGAATTGTCCATAGCTAGTGTTGGAGGTTGATTTTTGACCTCAGATTTTCTGACTTCAAATTTAGCACTATAATGAGCTGCTTATATCTTCCAAATTTTATCTAGCCAAATTTCCTCCTATTCATTGTCTGTCTGCAGTATTTTTTTCCTTTTCTTTAAAGAAATGTTTAACTTTTGTTGCTATTGTTTCTGTCATTTTTGAATAGAACCTTAAGAGACCTTATTTTAATAGACCTTTCCCTTTCTCATGCCCCTCCCCCTCCTACCTATGGAATAATCCCATTAAAAAAAATAAAAACAAAACAGGACATTCAGAAAAGTTAACTAACACATAAACCAAGTCTAACAGTATATGCAATGTTTCACATCCTTAGGCATCCAACTTTGCAAAAAAAAAAGAAGGTACAATTTCTCATCTCTCTTCTGGGTCCAAGTTTGGACATTATAAGTACATAAAATTCAGCTTAGTATCTTTCAAAGATGCAGTATGTACTGATGGACTAATTGTCCAGGTGCATATTATAATGTGAGCAATAATCCATTCTTCATTTTGTTTTTCAAGTGTTTTTCAAGATATCTAAGCCAATTTCTTGAATGACCCCTGGGTTTGATGTTCTGAGGCTGACTTCAGCAGAAGAATCAAAACTGCAGATGACTTGCATATTTCGAGGATGATTTTGCTAGAGAAATATCATAAGACATCATAAAGAATATGTGTGACCAGAAAAAGAGGTACCTGTGTTGCCTCTTGAGAGATTGAGATTGAATATATATATGCTTCACAGGCATACATGGAATTAAAAAAAAAACACACACCAAAAACCCAGGGAATAGCCTCTAGTCTGTTGGTAAGATCCTTTGTAGAAAGACTTGAACAAGAATATCATAGTCTGGGAAAACATGGATGGGTCGTGGCTCATGGGTTCACTAAAATATCAAAGTATATTGCAAGGAATTATACAAAAAGATGGAAAATCACATATTTTGTTAAGAGGTTGGGGTGGGATGGGGTAATTTAAGGGAATAAGACATGTACACAAAAATGTGGTGCAGTATAGAATGTAATTAAGGGCAAAAGGAAAGATCTAGGCAAAATGATATAAAAACTTTTTTTTAAGGAGAAAGATCACTTTTAGCCATGGTCATGAAAGCTTTATGGAGGTGGTGGTGCCTTAAGGCTGTGAAGGAAGTAAAGGAAACTTGAATATGCAGAGTTATGAAATATGAGTATTTTAGGTATGGGAAATGGTTTGTATAGATACTCATAAGAGAATCCAGTATAATAATAATAATAATACTTAAAATAGCAGATATAGAGCTGGAATGAGACCACATTAGTAAGTAGCTAGCTGACCAGTTTGTTTGCAATATAGAGTATGTGAAGAAGGGGAATAGTTTTGAAATAATGCTGGTAAACTAGATAGAAAAGTGGAGGTTGAGAGCCTTCAGGGCTGGCCTAAGGGAGATGGGACATCTAGAAAACTGCTGAAATGGTTAAGGAGAATGATAATTGAGAAAGAGCCATTGGATTTGGAAATTAGAAGAGATCATTGGTGACCTTGGAGAGACTAGTTTCAGTAAAGAGATAGGTATGGAAGCCAGACTGCAGAGGTTTGCGTAAATGAATGGTAGGGAAGTGGATGAAATGAATCATTAAGAATGTACACCATTATTTTTTGAAGTTAAATCATGAGGAGATATTGGAAGATAGCTTGAAGGGGATGAGAGGGTTGAGGAGAGGTTTTTTTTTAAGAGGTGGAAGCAGGAAGACTTGTCTTTGTAAATAGAAGGAAAGGAAGTAGGAGAGATGGGGAGAATGAAGACATGAGAAAGAGCTAGAAGGAAGAAATGATTAATGAAACAAAGTTCCTAAAGAGCTGGGAGGAGGTGGGATCCAAGTATATATAAATAGAGAAGTTAACCTTGGCAAAGGTAGAGGACCCTTCTTTCTTTAAAGACCTAATGGAGTGGGAAGAAAGTGGTTTAAAGACTGAAAGGTTTTAAGTGTGGGGGAGGGAGAGATTTCAGGGAGCTCATATCTCAACAAAGTAGGTGAGATCATCCTCTGGAGGGAAATGGAGTTGGGGAAGGAAGAGAAGGTTAGAAAGGAGTAAGCCTTAAAAATAGGCTTTTAAGCCTATCTCTTTGGGGAAAGCTTTGCTGTATTTCTGCCTGGGGCAGGGGGATGTACTAAATGACATGTGATGTTCCATTTCAGCCTTGTGAGTCTATAATTTTTATAATGGCACAAGATTACTTAGCTGGCTCTTGATGAGATAATTTGTCAGAAAAGCAAAACATGGGAACTTTATAATCTATTTGGAGGCAGTGGTAGGGTATGTGATCTCTAATAATAATAGCTAATATTTATATGGCTATTTAAGATTTGCACAGCACT